TTATATTACAATAATGTATTAGTCCAAAGCAATTAGCGTTAATATAACTAAAAGTTTTTATAAAAATTTAATAAAATATGTATATACATTTATTTATATACATCATTTAACTTATAAAATTTTCATGTATTTTTTAAAATCTATTTTTATGCTAACAGTTTGGGTTTTTTCTTTGCTATAAATACATTTTAAAATCATTAATTACTCTTTCTTCTATTAATGAAGAAGTTATTAATGAAGACTTTTTAATTTTTAAATAGAAAACTGCTTATTCTAGGAAAAAACTGTAAAATAGCTGATGTATCAGGCCTGGTGTATTTGACCTTAGATACTGGAAATAGCTACAAAAATTTCCATTTCCAGGTGTGTTACAAGATAATAATGAAGACTGGAGTGAAATTATGTTGGAAGTTTAATTTTCACCACTTTATTCTACGGTCATTAATGAAGAATTTGTACTTTTTAAATAGAAAACTGCTTATTCTAGAAAAAATTATTAAGAATACATAACCATTTTATATCTTATTAAAACAAAATACTACAACATAAATAAAAAGTAATAAACATCTAAATGTAAACAAAAATACCATTTTACAATTTAATCCCAACTTCAACCAAAAAAAAAGAAGTAGCAATCCTGTGTGAAGAACACCTATCAGTGTTGAGACCCCCCTAAAGAAACAGAGATGACCGACAACTAAAAACTAGAAAAAATTCTCAGAGAAAAAAAGAAGGCAAAAAAACCTCAAAAATCCCTACAGACTAGTAAAAGAATTAAAACCAAAACTAAGTAAGTCAATTTTAGAGCTGACCTCATCCTTCTGGGGTTTAGTTTGTCTTTTTTAATACTGGTTGTGATTTAAGGGCAGCCCAGATCATGTTTGTGAGCAAGAAAAAGCTTTTCCTCCCAGGCTATTGTTTACAGAGAGTTTGTTTGGAAACATCTGGCTGGTGCATGAGTGTGTCCAGAGAAGTGATGCAAGGCTGAACTGCTGCACAAATAACATTTCTTAGCTACAGAGTCATTTTCTGTTCAGATAGGCTTGCAGTCTACCAAAACTTAGATAATCTATCCCTGTGTTGTTTAGCACCACAGGGTTTCTAAATGCTGCAATAAAAAATATTCATAAATCACACACAATACCTTCCAGCACAGCTCACAGCCCTCGTTACACAGCAGGTTTTTGAATGCTGAAATGTGAAGTCAGAACAAAAGTATTTCCCAGGCAGTGCAGGATCCATGGCTGTGGGGCTGGATCAGCATTTCTGGCTCCTGCCTCGTGGCAGCTGTGGTCACATCTTCCAAAACATTTGGGAAACATCTTGCTTTGTTTTCCCCTTCAGCTTAATTCCACTCAGTCCTCCCTCTGAGAAACTTAGATTTTGGTCACAGATGTGGGGAAGAATTTTCCTTTGCCTCACTTTTGTTACAATTCAGTCATGGAGAACTACAGGGGGATGTGCTTGAGTGAACACTGATGACCAAACTTAATGAAATGTTGCTGTTTCTGTCTTTACATTTGGGCCCTCGTGTCCCTGTCAAAGGAAGGGGACCAGGACACCAGTTGGTTCATCACAGGCCCTCAGGTCCGGTCCAGTCCCGGTCCCTCAGGTCTTTCTGGTCCAGTTTATTAAAGAAAGTATCAAACACTTATACAGCAAATAATAAGCTTATGAATATTCTGTAAGCTAAGCAATCTATTGGTTAAACTATAGCATTAACTCATCCTCATTCCTTAAGGGTTACATCTCTCTTTTCTCATGTCTTTTTCACTGTTTGTTATTATACCACAGCTAGGCCCAAGGACACTGCTCTCTGTGCAGGTGCAGGACTTGGAATTAGCCATGGTTTTGTACTTTTCCATTTTCTAGCAGCTAAATTCCCAACATGTCCCTGCCCCGTTCCAGGCTGCGTTTTGGGGATATTCTGATTAATCTCACACTGCCCTCTGGCTTTGCCCTGCCTGGCTGGCTCAAGGGAACAGCACCGGCCGCTGCTTCCCTGCTCTGCAGCCTGGTGGCAGCACGAGTGCAGCAGGAACTCTGCTTTTCTGTGCCATCGACACACCCAGAGCGTGTCCAGGGTCAATCCATCACCTGTGTAATCCCAAATTCCTGCCTTGCAGCTCCCAGGCCCTGCCCCAGCACAGATCCTCCTGCCTTCGAGCAGGCAAGGGACACATTCCCTGTGTTCTTCCCTTTTGTGCTCTGATTCATTCACCTGACTCCACATGCACTGCCTGGATGCCCCAGGCCAGGCTTGGAGCACCCTGGGACAGTGGGAGGGGTCCCTGCCCATGGCAGGGGGTGGCACTGGATGGGCTTTGAGATCCCTCTCAACCCATACCAGGCTGTGATTCTGTGAATACAGGGACAACGATTTTAAAAATAAAATGGTTAAATTTATATTTCAGTTAAATCAAATTTGGGGGTTGGAGTTGGGTAATCAGGAGTACATAAATAAAAATTCCAAATGCTGTTTTTTTTCCCACTTGTTTTACCTCAGGACACATAAAAGAACGTGGGAAACATCAATAAAATAGTTAGTAGGAAAATTAAACAGTAAGTGCCTTCTATAATTTATTTGAAAACAGTTATTATTTTAAGGAGACAACATTTGTTCAACCTTCATCTCCAGTGAAAGGAAAAACACTGTAAAACCAGACTGAATATGGGAATAGCTATATTTAAATAAACAGTTGGTGTGTCTCCAAAACAGAAACTACTTGGAATGAACAGAAGCACAAGTGGCCACAAGTTGAAGTGGCCTAGGGAGGGAATGGTTTGGAATTGCTTCACTGGCAGCATTTGGGGCTTGGTTCAGCCTCTCCCCATTGCTCTCCAGGTGATCTCTCCCTGTTGCTCTGACCTTTAGGCCTTTCCTGCCTTAGGGCACTGTGTGTGTGTTCAGTGCAGGGACACCACAAGGGACTGGCCCTCGTACCTGCTGTCAGCACCTGCTTTTGCAGCCCTCAGGGCAGTTCCTCTCTCCCTCTGAGCCCAGCTCATTTGGGAATGGCATTCCCTGCTGGCTGTCACAGCAGCTGTCTGCCATCCAGTCTGCCTTTGCTTCAACTCTTCACAGTTTTTGAGAGATTCCTCTGGGAAGTGCAGCCAAAAATCCCCATGCAGTTGGTGCATGAGACTGTAGAGGCAGTGGCAGCACAGGAGAGCAGCAGTCCCTGAGGTGATTCCTGTTCCACAACAGAATGGCAGATGCTTTTGCAGCCTGGACCCACCTGACATGGATGGTGACTGTGCCAAACACCATGGGCCTTTAGGATGGACCTGACTTGTGGGGTTTGGCCCTCAGGACCCCTTGCAAGCAGTCTGGGCTCAAGCCCTTTGTCATTGAAATTATTGTGAGTTTGCATCAAACGGGTGCCTGATTTCCTCCTGCCCTAACACTGATTATTTGTTTCGGTTTTCCCCTGGACTTAGCTCAGTACAGGCTCAGAGTGCCTTGGGAGACACAGGCCGTTGCTTTGCAGTTGTTTTTCACTTTCCTGAGGTGTTTTTACAGGAGCTGAGCAGCCTGTCGAGTCTGAAGAGATTGACAGTGATGCAAGTGGAGTATAAAAACATCTTTATCCAATTAAGGAAGCTGCTGCTGAGCTCCCTGAGTGCCACCTGGAGCCGGGGCCTCGCTGGGGCTGGGATGCAGCGGGGCTGCGCCATTCCCCGGCTTCGCCTGCCCTCTGCTGCCCTCCCGGGCAACTTCAGCGCTCACAGCTCCACTCGCAGCTGCTTTATTCTGCCTTTCAGGGGCTTCCACAGCATGCACAAGTGTAAATGTACAGAGGGATGGAAATCACAGCATACTTCCACAGTGCTGTTACTGGATTTAATCCCTGGAGTGGTGAAACTTCCACAGTGCAGCTGTTTGACAGCTCCAAAACTGCATAGCTGCAGTGACTGATCCTCATTAGGGCTTTAATTACATCACACAACTTAAACATGTGCTCCTGGGTGCTGCTGTTTGTGGGCCACTGTTTTGTGCTTTATTTCAGGAAGGCTTTTCCCTGATCGATTCCCACAAGTGGCTGAAGATAGTGAGGAGAGCAGATTGCCTGCTGCTCCAGGCACAGGCCAAGGTGAGCTGAGCTGCTTCCAACATCCCTAACATGTAACAGAGATGGAGGAAATCTCTCCCTTTTAGCTAAATTAACTAGAAGGTGTTAATTACCTATGTAAATTAGAATTATTTTTTTTATTCTAGATACTAAACAAGAATGGATTAAATATTGATACCTTTTATAACTGCTAATATTCAGTTTTTAGACTGCTGAGAGTTAGCTGCTAAAACAGCCAGACTGGTTTTATTTCCCACTCTATCTGCCATAGCTAACAAAAAGATGAAGCAAATCTTTTCCAAGATTCCTCTGAGTCAGACTGCACTTCAGCAAACAAACTCTGTAACCAAGCAGTAACTGAGGCATTTTGTGGCCCCTGGCACAGCAGCTGCAGGGTGGTGGTGAAGGTGTTTGGTACTCAAGGAAACAAAATGGACGTGGGTTTCTGGTCAGCCACTCAGCTCTCCTGATGGAAAGTGGTTGGTTTGCCTTTAAATAATCAAACAGCATTTTCTTCTTACCAATTCATGTAGAAATCTCAGGATTTTCTGTTCTTTGATGAACTCTGATACTCTGTGAGTATCTTCATGTTTTAAATTCATGGGTTATGCCTGAAACCAAAACACCTCTGCACTCTGCTTTCTATCAGCTTGTTAAAAACCTGGCAAACCTGAAGGCAGCTGGGGCAGGAGTTAGTTCTGATGAACCTGCAGAGCCAGTCCCCCAGTGCAGCATCAGGGGATTCTGCTGCTCCTCACCAAGACAAAATCAACATCACACTCAGTGCCAGGCTCCAGCACAGCTCTGAGGGGCACCTCAGGAAAGGAGGAATTTTAACAGCCTGAAATTAATTTGGTGCATCCCAGTGTTTACTTACCATAAATCCACACAACTTCAGCTGCAGTGATTTTACCACACAGCTTCTCTACTTCGTATCCTAACAGTGGATGCAGCTTCTGGGCTTATCTTTATGATAAATTTCTGGTTTATCTTGTACTCCTTGTTTTTTGTAAGTCATTAATTCTGCATTTGCAGTGCAACTTGCTCGTCACTTCAAATATGGCTTCAGTAGGACACTGTGGCTCTTAGCCAGCACAAGATTAATCTTCTTAATAATTTTGCAAGAAATAATTTCCCTTCATATTGTTTTCCTTGAGCTCATCCCCCCAGCCCAGCATGGAAGAGGTACAAATGTAATGATTCCATGACATCAGGGGTGTTTAATACTTGAGTTTTTGTGTGGTTCAGGTGTGACTGCCCAGGCCTCAGTTTATGCTATAAACCTTGACATATCACAGCTCTCTTTCCACTAAGGAACAATGTTTAATTTTCAAAGTCCACTGTTGTTTATGAACTGCAAACTAAAGTATTTACCAGTCCTTGTGAGAAACCCAAGGGAGTCCAAATAGTCCAGCCCCAAAATTAATCTGGGGATCTAAACAAGCAAGTGCTCTTTGAAAGTGTCCTAAGGACACTCCAGCCAAGTTCCTTTTGTGAAATCAGAACTCACCTGCCTGGCACTGCCTGGCTCTGGGAGGCTGCCCCAGTTCCTTAATTAATGAGGGCAAATCCAGCTGGGCACTGGCAATGAGTGCCACACTTCACATTAGTTTGACATTTTTCCCTTTAGAAAAGCACTGAGCCAGGCTTTTGTGCTTACCCTGCCCTAAAAATCTTTTTATGGGATTCAAACATCCTCAAGCAGCAGGCATGTAAACACAGGGGCTGTCAGCAAGAGCTGCCTCATCTCTGAGACAGGAGCTTTAAAGTGAGAGGTGTCCTCGTGTTCCAGCAATGTGGGATTAAAATGGGCATTGAAAATGGGGCTGACACTGGAATCTCAGGAAGATGAAGACCTAAATAAGCCAGGCTGGGCCAAGGAGAATTTACTGCTTTTCTTGTACTTTAGGTTTTTTTAAATTGAAATTTCAAGATCAAACCGAAAGTTCCATTAATTCACTCTCTGAACACTGAATATGCACCTCCCTCACGTCAGCTCCAGGTGCTCAGGCCAAGCTTATCACACACCAGAGACTCCATCCCCATTTCAGGGCACTTTGCTGAACCTGGGGCACTTATTAAAAATACCAATTATGGTACAGCCCAACAACCTACTCTGGGGGTCAGAGCTATCTGGCAGTTTTCAATAATTTTCAGTAGCATTTCTCTCTTTGAAGTAATGCATTGAATTTCCTGCACTCCTTTCAAAGTGCCAGTTTCTGTTCAAGGAACATTTAGGTGAGTGCCAAAGTGAATGTGCTGGTTTAGCTCCATGCAGGAGCAGGCAGACCAGGAACATAAATCCTAACTGGAACATGCATTCCCAGAATTGCTAGTCCAGATCCAGAGTTAACTTCTGCTTACTCTTGTGTCATTTTTTGTCACAAATAACAGTGCAGAGCTGGCACATCTTACAGGACACTACCTGCAGCAACAATAAAACTTAATTTTCCTGCTGAGTCCTGGCAAGGCTTGCCCACTTGGCTAAACCTTGAATTAGTGACAGGTGGCCTTGCATCACTCACCCTTTTCTTGCATATTTTAACCTGATTTTCAAATCAGCAATCACAGTCTTCTGGTTAAGCTGCTGGGAAAAACTGAAAATACAGCAATTTGTTTTTAAATTGGCACAGTTATCCACAAATCTATTGCCTTCTTCCCAACTCCAACAAGCATGGATTTACTCCGAGCAGCGGGAGGGGGCTCCAGGCTGATCTGCTCTCCCGTGTTCCCAGCAGAGCGAGTGCCGCATGTTCCGCGTGCAGTTCGGAGGCAGCTGCAGGGAGGAGGTGCAGGAGCGCTGCAGCAGCTGCGTCCACAAGCTCAGGCAGTTCCTGCCCGTGCAGGGGGCTGAGGAGCAGAGCCCCAGCCAGGACAGCCAGGCCATGGACACCGAGCACGCAGTAAGTGAGCACACACACCCAGAAGCACTCACCTCTGGAGTTTCTCACAGCTCTGAGAGTGCCTGCATCAATGGGAGTTGGGAAATTGGACAGGGCAAAAAATGATCAGAGCCACCAAGTAACCCTGGCTCCTTTCTGTGTGTTCCTGCTTTGCAGTGGCAGTAGCTGCTACAACTGCTTATTTACAATTTAACCTAACCTGGCACATCTCAAAGCCATCTCAGGAGGAACAGAATGTTTCCCCTCTCCAAGTCCTGAGATAACTGGAAAAGGCAGAGACAAACTGTCACAGACATTTCTTCATAGAAATCCTTTCTTTGGGATTTGTCCATCTTCTGGGAAGCAAAGGGCCCCAGAAGAAGAATGTAAACAAATTGTTATCGGCTGTTGTGAAATGTGGCAGGTGATCCTGTGATTGGCTCATCTTGCATATTTCCAACTAAGGGCCAATCACAGGAGTAGCTCAGGGGAGATTCTCTGAACACAGAACTTTGTTATTCATTCCTTCTATTCTATTCTTAGGATAGCAGCTCTCTGCGAGCTCTCTCTTTATTCTTTTTAGTATAGTTATAATGTATTATATATTATATATCAATAAATCAAGCCTTCTGATCAAGGAACAAGATTCTCGTCCTTCTCTCACCTCAGCGACCACATCAGATTGCTGTAATAACAAACAGCATTTTCCAGGGTGATCATTCCAAAATCTCTGTTCTCTTGGGTATTTGGATCCATGGAAAAGAAGCAGTGTGCTCTTGTGAGCATCCATCCAAAACATTCTTTGAAGTTACTCCTAGGAAGTTGTTTGTGACTTCAGTTTAGCCATGAGCTAACAGGCATGTAGTTAAACTGTCATGTCTTTCATTTTTAAAGACTGGAGCAGATGTGCATGCAGGTTCCATAAAAAGATGTCATTTTACTGCAGAAGGTAGCTGAGCACATTCCCTTCCCGTCAGTGCTAAAAATGGAACTGCTCCCCCCCTGCACATACCCACACTCTGCTTGGTAACAAGCCCTTATTTGCATTTGGTATTTTCTAGCCAGATGAGCCTCTCCCAGACTCCTGCACAAGCCTTGGAGAAAGAAGATCTGTAGCACAGCTTGCACAGGTAAAAAACAAACATCTCCTGTTTAGAGTCTGTAACTGAGCCTGAGAATGAGCTGTCTCAGATTCCATCTGGGAAATGCCTTCCCTGAGCATTGGGATGCCATCATCTACACCAGCAAAACACTGGGTCTGTGTAATGATCCAGAGCCAGGGAATCAGCAGCAAAACAAGGTGTTGGGTGGTGTAATCACCCCATCTGAATAGGAACAAATGACACACTGAGAGCAAAGAAATACCCAGAGGCAACATCCAAATGAATGGCTCTGGCACTGGTTTGACTCTGCAGATCAGAGCTGAAGCCTGCAAATGTCAATCAAGGAATCACAGAATATCCCATCTGGCCCTGCTGTGGCAGTGAGAGCCCATTCTCCTTTGTCCCCAGTCCCTCTCCAGCTCTCTGGGAGCCCCTTTAGGCACTGCCAGGGGCTCTGAGGTTCCCCTGGACCCTTCTCAACCCCGACCCACAGCAAAGCATCCCCCTATTCCATGGACAGCTTCACTGAGCAGTTCTGGGTAAATGCCTGAAGTCACCTGTTGCTCATTTACTGGAATTCAGGCCAGCGCAGAAGCAGGTGAGCAGAAAACTCTGCTCTTTTCTGGTTTTGTGCAGTTCCTTCTCTGTGTCTTCCTTACCCTTCTTTCATAGCCACTGGCTGAGCACAGAATCCCATAGTGGGATGGACTGGAAGGGACCTCAGTGGTCACCTCATTCCAACCCCAGTGCCACAACGCCCAGAGTTCTCCCATCACCATGGGAAAAAGCTGGGAGAGGGGATTAAACAGGGGTAAAAAGGAAATTTTAACATAAAAGCCCCATACTTCTAAAAAACATTTGGCTACATGAAAAGCTTGCAAGTGCACGCTTGGTTATCCCCACACATCCATGTGGCAGCAGGTACAGCTCATACAGAGTGTAGTGATTACAGAATGGATACCCAGCAGGAACCACAGTACCCAGGAAATTCCATTTCCAGGGTCCATTTCCAGCTGAAATAATTGCAGTGTAAAAGCTACAATGGAATCACACCTGAGCATCAGAGAAAAGCTCGCACACAGAGAAGCTGTCTGATGGCACTCCAAGAGCACCAAA